AAAAGAGACAGATTCCAGTGAGCCTGGATAACAACCACAGGTGATAAATGGAATCCAGAAACCAAAGATACAGTGATGTGATGAAGCAAAAATAGCAAAAACTATACAGAATCATCCCCATGCCTGGTTTTAAGATAGTTTCTAAAATGTAGAGAGACAAGGAGGCCAAAGACACTTTCAAATGGCAAATGTAATGAGATATCTGAAATCCATGATCCATGTGGTCAGGAACATCACAATAAATAAAGAGGACAGGCTGTTAAATCAATTCATAAATGTGGATGGAGCAAGATCTGTAGAATGAGAATTATCCTAAGATATAAACAACCAACGATGATTCCCTTGGTAATATTTCATTCTTGCAAGGAACATAGAGAAAAAAAACAGTAGTTACCATCTCTTGCAGCCGAAGTCTCTGGTATGAAAGTTCTATCCGGATTTACATACAAATAGAAAAAGAAAAGATTAACAGAAACATTAAAGGCAAAAATGTCTGAATGGCTCCACCATGACGCTACTTACAAAATACATTTCACAGAAAGATAATAGAGTGAATGAGTTGCAAAGGTTCCATCAAGAAGCAATGTAACCGAAGGCCAGACTAGACTCCCATTAAGAACAAAAAGAACTGGAAAAAGTATTACAACAGGGGCACCTTGCTTTTTGTGGCAATACAAAGGGTTGAGAGTGAAGCTCTGTATCCTGCAATAGAAGTAGACAAGCCCTGTTCATGAAAAATGAGGCAGGAAGTGAACGAGTTGGAGAAAGGTAAGAAACCAATGTTTCCAGTCACCAACTCCAAAAAATAGACCAAATATACTGATATACTTCTAAGAAGGAACATCTGCAAGAATGTGATAACATTCAATCTTCCAAAAGAAGAAAAGCCAGCTTCATTAAAAGAACTGCATCAGAGCCATCAGAGAAGCTGGAGATGACAAACATGATTGTGAAAGATGTATATAAAAAAGCAATGGAACAGAATCCCTCTAAGACTGACAAGAGGAATGAAACCATGGTGAAGTAGGCCAGTCTAAGCAATAGTAAGAACTGGACAATGGGACTAACTGATCTTGGTCAATAGCCTAGAAAGATGAAAGTAAGCATAGAGAAAACATTCTCTCTGATAGGATTAAAGCATAAATTGCTACTGAAGATGGACCTAGATACCAGTAAAGGGTCAGAAGATGATGCACTGTGAGAATAAATGCATAGGCACTGGACAACTAAACCATTGGTACAATCAATGGAAGACCAGCTCAGAGAAACACACAATGTGAATGAAGCCAAAAAATAAAAAACCACAGCAGACAAGGGCTGTGACAATAAGTTAATACATGTCACCATGGTTGAAGTGCCTGTGAGCACAAAAACACAGCAATGGTGTAACAAAAGCAGGAACTCCTGATATACATGTGGAACAACCCAAACATCTATCATTAGAATCTGACAATGGGATAAATAAGTAGATTACAGATCTTAGAGATAATGGTCCCCCATCAGATCATCCTATTCCTGGAAAGAAGCATTGGTGAAAAGATCCAGATCAAGAGTAAAAAAAGGGGGAATCTACAATGGAAAACTATGAATGAGCCACACTTACAGATAAATAACAGAAGGAGAAATTCCCACAGACATGAAAAGGCAAGATCCCGTGGATGATGAAAAGAAAATCAAAGTGAAAAATCTGATTAACTCAGCAAACAAGAGTAAGGTCCATAGATAAACAAAATTATGAGAAGACTACAAAAGCGTTTGTATGGAGGAGTCATCAAGAAAAAAGTCAATAAGTGAGTCATAGAGAGCCACCTGGCTTACATTGATGCTAGGCTACATTAAAAGTATGAGTGGATGTAACGAGCATCGAAAAACATTACACACAAAAACCTAGAAGGAAATTATGGCGAGAAGAAATATAAGACATTAATAACCTGATCAACTCCAGCTATTAAGAATCTCCTGAACAAGAAACAAATTAACCCTTTAGGTGTGTATTTTTTCAGGTTTATATACATGTCTAATTAGATCAAATATACCTCTAAAACCATTTGAAATAGCCCAATACACTTATGGAAAGAACTGTTCAGTATAGCCTTAAGAATCAAATTATGCAAATAATTAGACCTAATTTGCATATCTGATGACATCACATTTCCAAGAAAGCCATCATATTTAAGAAATTTGTAATTTATTATTTTTCTTTTGATTTGACAGAAATAAATCATCTGATTTCATAAAAAATGGTTGAGAGTTATTATTGGCCTCTTGCTATGTTGTATTTATTGTTCAGAACTCCTTTGAATAGCCAAATTATGTGATCTTTAGGTCAGCTTTTTGGAGGTTATTTGTAAATACAGATAATGAAATAATAAAACAATTACACACAATCAGTTTCCCTTTCCTACTGAACACAGAATTATCTTTTTTTTTGAGAAGTAAGACAACAGAACAGGTTTTAAAGCTGCTGACATGCCACGGTAGTTCACATTCACTGTACCCACAGTCCTATGTCCTGATTAGACATTTCCTCAGCCAAGAGCACAATAGTGTAATAATTGTCTATATACAGTTCATTCCTTTTGCCAGTGTATGGTGACAACACATTCCAAACAAGCCTGCACAAAGTGACCATTCAAAAATGCATCCACTTTTTGACTCGGATAACAAAAAAGCTTTGAATCTCCATTCGTCCAGTTTCTTAGGGTTGTAATGTTTCAAAACACTTTACCCTTTGAATGAGATTGTCATTTCATTCAATGCCAATTCCTTTTTTTGGACCAAACAGTTGTGTGAATTGGGAAATTATCATGTCAGTCAGTGGACACACCTCAAATAATCTATCCTGACAAGAAGCACCATTGGCAACTAGCTCATTATTGTTTGCAAAGCACAGAAAGCTCAAGATTGATTCAAATTTGTCCTTAGTAAGGACATAGAAGAAAACAGGAGCTTCAATTAACCAAAACGTATCCCAGTAGTTCTCTATCAAGGTGCAAAGCAAAGAATGCTTTCATCTCTTAATGCTTCACAGGTACCCATTAATGAAATTGTGAATGTGGTTTAAAATGATCACCTTTACTCAGTAAAAATTGATCGACATAGCAATTTGTTGCTGTTAAAATGTGATTAAACACAACATAATTTGGAAATAATTGCAAAAAAGTGATAGGATCTGCATGATTTTAGATTCTGGTTGCCCCTGGTTGGAAATACAGGGTTGAATATGGTCATCACCCACCACCAACTTCCACCCATTATTATTTGCACCACCAAGTTCATACCTAGCTTGATTGCCATGTATATATTGACCTTGTCCACATGCAGGTTGTTGTGCCTTACTAGGCCTAACCCTGGGTCTGGTCCTGGGAGGACAGGTATGTGTAATTGGTCACCCACCTGTATTAGCAATGACAATAATATATTGTTATTATATCCTGCATCATGTTGACAATATCTCTCTTGAAATTTGGATATCTGAGAAATGGGAACCTCATAATCATTGTCACTTTCAGTGTCACCATCATCACTTGCCCCCATGGGCCCAGCTTTGGCATTACTACTGTAACTATCCACATCAGTATCAGTCATATCACAATCAAAATCATTATCAGATAATCGCATCTTCAGAGCCAGAATAATCGATAGCTTGTACAAGTTCAATTGTCTCTTCAGATGTGTAAACACTGGAGCAATATGATGCCATTTTGGATACATTTTCTCCTAAAAATTAAACAATTGTCAACTACACATATTACCAATTTTTTGAATATCAACATATGCCATGTTGGATATGAATCACCAACTGAGATCATCATCTGAACAGATTAGGTTTTGTCTGCTGACTTTGGGTGCTCGATTCACATTTCTAACAGGACATTCAATCCACATTATTTGATCATCATACAGCAATGGGTACACCTAAAAGGTTAAAGTGAATTACCTGCAAATATAAAAATGAAGTAAATAGACACACAAAAATAAATAATCAGAACAATGAGAAGACCTAAAAACAGTGCAGAAAAACAATGTCTCAAAACGAGCTAAACCATATCATGCAGAGCAGAAGACTAGCGATGGGTCAAAGTAAAAAAAACCAAGTAGAAGATCCATCCAACCAACCACAAATAACCTTTTAAAGGTGAGAAGGTAGAGAATATGAAGTATTTGAATACAAAGAGCTAGTTTTTAAAAATATCCACAACCCCAAAGTCACTAAAACATAGAGGAAATAAAAGATTAACGTGCAGAAATAGCTCCACATGACACAAGTATCCTCAAATGCAACTGGAATAGGTTCAATACAGAAGATACATAACTACATGAAAGAAACAGAAATGAGACCTGCAGAAATATTGTCAGGATTAGGGCTAGCACTTTAGCAAACAAAACAAATTCTGCAGACACTGGAGATAATTAGATCTGAACAAAAAGTCACCTTTGTTAAAAACTAAAGAAAATGGAAAATGTTCTGCAAATTAAGCATATTCCCAAACATTATACCCACCATGAACATCAGTAGACAGTGGCATCAATATGTTGAACTATCCATGCTGAGAATGCATCTGCAAGCTATAGACAAATTATGTAAGTAAGGCTTACGACAAACACACAGAATTCTAACTATATCAGAAATAGTTGCATAAGGAAAAACATCATAGTAAAGTGAACAGCATGACTGTTAATAAAAAAAAATCTAAATTATGGCAGAACTTATGTAAGATCTGACATATACACATTAAGTCATGTGGAAGATGGAAGAGTGGAGAATTATGGGTAAATGATGTATGATATACAATACATAAATGAAATGTGAAATTTTGAGTCACATGATTTATTCACAGCATGAGTTCAAACTCAATGCGGAAAGGCTCAGTATTTCAGAGCTAACTATGCTTTACTTGAATATAGTTCTAATTTCACTTTTAGTTAAAATAATATAAATTTCAAGATGTTCTTACACAATGCAAATTGCCACCTCAAAAATGCTTAAATAAGCTTACCTATCTCTTGAGGCTCAGAAGGAACTGAGTAAATATTTCGTTGATTTCTACCAGGTTCAGAAGAATCTACATAGAAGGATCTCGGTGAACCATCTAACAGTGAGTCCTGTTTATTAAGTATTTTTCTTTTTGCTTTCCCTAAACAAAAAGGTACAGGATATAAATAGTTGAAACATAGAACTAACCAAGTACTAAAAATTGCTAAAAGTGTTGAAAAAATAAACAAATGAAATATAAAAGATGCAATGTTTTCATATTTCTTTACCCTGAAAACATGGATCAGTAATACAATTTATACAACATTGTATGGCTGTACAGTAAGCTTTGTCCATGAAATAATCATTCATTATTTTAACTGTTAGATGACAAAACTAAGCCAAAAAACTATTTCTTATTCAGGCTGAATTTTTCTTATAAGTTTTATTTTATGTTGAAATACTTAGAAAAGAAAATGTGGGCTAGAATCCACCAGTGGAAAAATCAACAATCTGATTTTATTATCTAAATTCATTAATGGATCGATCACGTATGCATACTTATGGTACAATATTGTTTACTAAATCAATCACTGGAACAACAATGAATCAAGATTGTTTACAAATCAACCATTAGAGTGTCAATGAATCAAGATTGTTTACAAATCAACCATTAGAGTGTCAATGGATCAAGATTGTTTACAAATCAACCATTAGAGTGTCAATGAATCAAGATTGTTTACAAATCAACCATTAGAGTGTCAATGAATCAAGATTGTTTACAAATCAATCATTAGAGTGT